AAAAAAAAAAAAAAAATCAACACCTGCCAAATGTGTGGCATGTTCTCAAGATTCGTTCGCGGCATTGGCAGAGAGATGGGGAATGACTTCCAGGCGGAAGACCAAGCTCTGATCACGGACGGACAAAGATGTCAAGGAAACCTTCTTCACCCTTCTCCCCATCTCCTGCCCCTCGCACACATACGCACACGCACCCCCAGCGACAGTTGCTGGTACATTGACAATAAGCAATGCCTTGTATTGGGGGCCTGTTGGTGGCTTATCAGTGGGGCAGATTGGTGGTTTATCGGTGGGTTGTTGGGGGTGGCTTATGGGTGGCTTATGGGTGGCTTATCGGTGGGTTGTTGGGGGTCGGTTGTTGGGAGCGGCTTATGGGTGGCTGCAAATGGGTGAGTGATAAGGTTTACACATCATTGTTATGGTCGATTAACGCAGTCAATGGCATGGCAATTGGTGTGGTGAATTGGCACGGTAATTGACATCGTAAATTGTAATTAGCATGGTGATTTTCTCGTGATGACGGACACGTGGTATTTTTATCTGTGGTGTCGGAGAGAGATGGCTTCTGTGTGGTGAGCGTCTCCGCATTAGAGTGAAAATAAATCTTGAGTCAATTACCTAAGGACCGGGTTGTTTTCTCTGTGGTGTTATACCTTTTCTTAACCGCAGAAAAAAACATGTTGAGTGAGAGGATTCTCGCACTAGCACTCTCTTGACGGTATCTGGCCGCAATTACAAATTCCGATGGACAAATGTGACTGCAATTACAGCCTGAGTGGAATAGGTCCTTGGTGTGAGTATGCCGTCAGTGGCACCTTCATCTACTACAGACCTCTTAAGGATAGGAGAGAACAACTGAGTTTCCTTTTTGGGAAAGGGGTCCATTTGCCAATGTGAACTCGGGGAATGTGGTGGGTTTCCCCGCATGCCGCTGCCAGAACGTACCAGAATTGCAGTGGCTGCTGCACGACTTCAAACAAAAAAAAAAAAAAAAAAAAAAAAAAAAAAAAAAAAAAGTTGCATGGCTTGAACAATGGATATCAAATTATCAATAAATTGTGGATCACAGTGTGTGCAAGCCCAGGGGCATCCTCTTGTTTTGCCTTTTTTTTTTTTCCCCTTTTTGTTCTGTCCATCGCATGGGTCCAAACGCCGTGCGATGTACAGAACAAAAAGGAAAATAAGAAAGAGAAGGCAAAACAAGAGGATGCTCCTGGGCTTGCACACATTGTGATCCTGTGACGGGCAGGTGGGAGTGACTCAGAGGAGTTGCAATTAGTGGGAATTAAGTTGAATTAACTGCCAAAAATAGACGAAAAAGGTGTGGGTATGACAGATTAAGGTAGGTGCAGTTGGGGGGGGGCAAAAGATGAAATTAGTCGTCAAGATCTGGAATGCACAAATTACTAAATTAGCCCTGTCAGAAGACCCTTGTATGTGGTGAGGTCCAAGTGCATGATAACAGAGCAGCGTTTTTTTTTTTCCCCTTTTAAGAGAGCGGCCGATTCTCTCCTTCACAATAATATTAGTAGTAGTAGTAGTAGTAGTAGTAGTAGTAGTAATGAGCGGTGGAGAAGGTGAAGGAGGGAGAAGAAGAAGAAGAAAAAGAACCGGAGGTGGACGCGGAGTGCAGCTCCAGCAAATGGAAATGGCTGAACGGGGTTGTAAATGATCAGGAAGGAGGATCTTTGCATGAGGATCTTTTCACGCCCCTGCCCATCAAGAAACCCTTGCGTCCATTCGCAACTGCGCCCTCTTCTCTCAACTGCCAACCAGTGGGGGAAAAGCCAACCATAAGCCCCCTTCATACTTGAACCAGCAGTACATTTCCCCACCATTTTTTCGAGGTCGCGGCGCACATGCAGGTGCGCCACCTTCGGGAAGTACTGGGGTGCAGTTTCGCTGGATATCCGTCAAGGCACGACGGGCTGCCTGCGAGGCGCCCACAATTTTCTCATCAAATCAGGAGGCAACTCCCAAAGCTACGGTCAAATTCCGTACGACCATGGGCATCCACAGAAGATGAAAGCGAAGAATCAAGATGACGAATGCAAACTGTCCGAAGCTCACTCCCCGCATCCAAATTGTCCGAAGCTCATTCCCCGCATCCGGTGACAAGGGACAAATTTTCAAACACTTATGCCTGTAGCAGCTACGCCAGTCAATCGATGAGGAAACTCCCCTTTTTGATCCAAGAGGGAGGAAAATGCGAGAACGTAAAACAAGTCCTGTAATTGTCAATCGATGGGGATTATGGATCGACAAGGGTAAACCCCTCCCGCAAATTAGTCCAGAATCTACCCAGAGATCCCGCCCATCGATCAATTAGAGTAGAGCAGTTGTTGTACTACCCCTTCAAATCATGAATCGATTGTTTGCGGGATATGGTTTTCATTGGACAGAAAATGAGTTGGCTGTAATTGTCAATAAGCGAAGAAAATTGAACAAGCACTTCAGCAATCGAAATCACCACATCCGGCCCCACTGAATTCTTTTTGGGGGGAAGGATTGCAGCATTCACCTTGGACTTGGGTAGTGAACCTGACAAGGCGGTATGATTAGGTTCATAGAGAAGGAAACCATGCCTTTTACCCTCTATCACTCTGATCCTGATGACAACCTGAGGGCAGTGTAGTGAATCTGCCACCCCTGCTCTCTCTCCTGTTTTGTTTTGATCGCTTGGCATTGGGAAGAGTCAGGTCATATGACTGTGGCAAACCGACTACCGTCTTATCCTGAACGTAACACATAATGCGTTGTATTCGAGCTTTCGAAAAGTTTGAAAATTCGAATAGACGGCATATCTGTTGTATTCGAAAATCAGGGCTGCTCGAATGGAACGCGTCCGTGGGGAAGACGGGAGGGCTGATGAGCAGTGCCAACTACCCAGGCCCCAGTCACCAACCGTGCAAGGGAGATGG